TAATATAAGGTATTATGATAATTACATGATAACTACACTAATTGATTAACCATGCCATATGCAAAATGTGTGTTAATTGAAATATAAAATATTTGTTTCAAAATAGAATATATGACATTATTTAAATATAATATATCCTAGACTGACAAATCATCTCCATTCAGAATCGTTTTTCGTATACAATGATACCTATCATTGCATTCAAATTTAATCCCATCCATTACAGTAACCTACAGTACAGCAGAGCGACATCCACGACTTACCCGCTTTTTATAGCTGAGGATTGAAAATTTAAAACGATGATTTTTGTAAATAGTTCTTACAGTATCGGAAAAAATCAAAAAAAAATTTAAACGTAATTATTTTTTACAGATATTTTAAATTCATACTTGGACGGCATTTCATATTAAATACAAGAATAACGATTTTGTTTTTATTTAAAAATATTATTAGTGGTTATATAATATTATGAAGCTTTTAGAGTTTATTATTATTTCATATACACAATGAAATTTTCAAATGTAATTTTTTAACAAAAATGAACTTAACCTGCTGTAGTGCTAAGCCTAATAGTAAAATAAATGACTTTGATAACAATTCCATCATTAGAATCGCATTTTGCATACAATGATTTTATATTTACATCATTGAATTCAAGTTTAACACATCCATTACATTACAGTGACTTTTAGTCACCTTATGTACAACAGATCATTACCGATCATTTACTAGTTTTTATTTTTTTTTAATTCCAGTTAAATTTTACACGGAATTCATCAAAATCACGAATATTTACGAATTCCAAATTCCATATCACTAATATTTTCACTTATAAGTTATAGGCGACAGTGGCGTGCGCAGGAATTTGGTATGGGGGGGGGATGTCATAAATAAAAATGTATTATGTTTATGTTGATGAACTAGAGATCCAAAATCCACTCGTTAGAAGACTAAAAAAAAGCCCATGGGGGGATATATCCCCTATCATCCCCCCCCTGCGCACGCCACTGATAGGCGATACCAAGATTTTTTGGTTGTGAATTAATTTAAAATACTTAATTTAAAATTTGAATCTATATATACAATACAAAAAACATTGTAAAACAGATTATTTAAATATGATTTTTTAATTTATAATTATTTTAGGCCATTAAAGTCAGCAAGAGTGCTGTAGTATAGTTTCAGAT